CCTTTCCAAATACGTGTAAATCCTGTCCCTCAGGATCCCCTCTAACAACTTGCACACCACCGATGTCAGGCTCACTGGTCTATAGTTCCCTGGCATTTCCTTACCACCTTTCTTAAATACTGGCAACACGTTAGCCAGCGTCCACTTGTCCCGCACCTCATCTGTGGCCGTCATTGATACAAATATCTCAGCAAGGTGCCCGCAATCACTTCCCTAATTTCCCATAAAATGCTCCTCTCTCCTTTCATCAGATAGCGTTGTTCAGGAGTAGAAGAAAACTGTGTAAAATGGGACACTTATAAGTGGAATCACTACTTCTATCTCAGCAAACATTTGACAACTTTCACCTACTACCCAGAGTTTTGATCTTTATCTGCCTGGCCCAGGTTACCTTTAGAAAGTGGGTCATCATCAGTATTATAAAATTTGGAATCTAATAACCATCACCTTAATAAGTACCAGACAGAGAAAGCTGGGTTACATCTGTATAGATTTAGCTTCATCATTCTTTATTGCATTCAGTTATTTTTTGTGGAGAGAAATGTAACCCAGATTTCTTTTTCTTTTATTATTTTGTTACTGCAGTAGGTGCAGACTTTAAAAATCAATGTGTGGCTTTCGATTAACCAACAGTAATTAGTTACAAAGATTTTAAGCAAATGAAAAGAGATCAATGCAAATCAATCTATGGAGAAAATGGTAGCCATTAAACTGTGCCATATTTTGAATCAATGAGACACTTCTAATTGTGTTTCTTCATTTGTGATGGCTCGACGTTATTGTGTTTGAATAGTCTTCTGTTCTTATTAATTACACGAAGGCCTGTCATTGTTATTTGATGCTGTGGAAATGCAAATTGGCGGCTTAGTTAGGAGTGTTAAGAGTAGCTTATCAAGCACTGGTACAGCTGCACAAAGCTGAGAAGAGTGTGCTGTCAGGTTCATTTCCACTTGTCAGCTTTGCTTTCTCTTGCTTTATTTGGTTGAATATCTGGGGTTGAAGGTTAAAGCAAATCAGCATTCTGTTGCAGTACAACAAGAGATTAATCATACCTGCACATTATCTTCTATCAGAGCAAAATGGGAGCAGAGTAGAACAAGCAATGAAAATAATGAGTAACAAAATGAATTTGACAAATCCCACCTACACTAAAAGATTTGTTATTATATGTTGGTCCTAAACATTATGTTCATCAGTAATCTCGTTTATACTCTTCCATGTTGCAAATACTTAAAAAGCAAATAGTCCAAATCATTGAAAAATGTAACTCGCTTCTTTTCTAGGTCAGGTGCACCAGAATTGAAATCCATACAATACTGAACTGACATTGTAGTTTAAAGTGTTATGACATTTCTTCTCTTCACAAACTGCATCGCATTATTCCATTGTGTTGAATGATGTGAATTCCAAGAATTGTGCATATTGCCAAACAGTGCTTGAGGCAGAATATTAACCAACTCTGAATAGAGTCTTCATAATATCTGCCTGGAAGGGCTGCAATGTAATAGTCAAATTCACCATTTGCCTCTCAACAAGATGACCCAAATTGATTGCAAGTCAGCAATTTTGTGAACATATGATGTATCAGCTGTGACAGGAGTTAGATTGGAAGTTTGATTTTTATTCAGCAGAATGGAAAGTACATCTCACTGAAGGTTATCTCACATAAGTGAGGTTAAGCCCTTGACTATCAAATATTGTTGATCTATAGACAATTATTGCTTGTGTTATTCTAGGATGTATGTACTCAAACTCTTTGTTTCCCCTTGAACTCTTTAATGCGGTAGTTGTCGCAGTTGTTGTTAATCACTTGAATGTTCGATTTATTCAGGATTAAGTTTTAAACAGGATGTGGGAAAACAAATTTGGAATGAAGTTATAATTACCAAATTAATCACTGAATTCACTAATTAGTTGGAATAACTTGTTTTGAATTTGCAGCCTGGTGCTATCAAAAATCAACTGCTTAATCTATCAACACAATTTAATGACAATTATCAAATTCTTAATTGGCCTTTTCAAATCCATTCATGCAATGTACATACAGGAAGCACAGTGTAAGGAATTTGGTCAGTGTTGCAAGCCTTGCACTTAATTTGAGGTAAATTCATAAGAAGAAGTAATAGCAAGAAAAGTTGAATCTTGTTTGTTTTGCCTTCTCTGTGTGAATATCCATGACACTGATTTCAAATTGAAATGACTATTTGAACTGAACTTGAACCAACAACTTTCATCATTTTATCAAACTGCCAAATATCCAGACTGAGAGAAACTGAAACTGTATATAATGTCATTCTTTCACAGCAAACACGCATATAGGAATGTTTCCACTTCCTGATTGTGTGGCATTTTCGACAGATAGCCATATGCTGCACTTTACCATAATCGCGCTGTAACATGTTTACAGCAATGGAGTGCGGATCTGAACATATATCTAACAGTGACCACATGTTCTGCTGGATGTGGGCCTCTAAGGCAGTCAACACCCATTCAGTGGAGGCAGCCATGTAGCCACATGCCACAACCGTAACAGCCAACATAACTTCCATGGACTCTTCCATCTGTTGTTCAATCTGTGCATGGCCTCCAGCATCTCTGCCAATTGTTCCTCTGCCTGTCTGCATTTCCAACTGGTCTGTTGTAGCTGAATCCAGAAGCTCATTCTCTCCATGGGTTGAGCAGGTCACAACCATTCTTGAGTGTAGTTTTGCACACCTTCCATCAGTTGTGGCAACAGGCCTATGATGTACTCACCGGATTGTGATCCTGAACCCAGTCTTGAGTGAGCACCCATTGTGGTGAATATCTTTGTGCTGGTCAAGGCTGTGGGAGAAATGCCTTGTTGGTCAGTTCTCTGGGGGGTCTGAATTACCAACCTCCAGAGTGGTGCTGGAGGTGGTGCAAGGCTGTCTTCTGTTTCAGTTTGTGACTTGTGGTGAGAACCTGCAGTAGAGAACAAAATGAATGAGCTGATGTTAATATATAAAGCCTTTCCTGAATAATGTTTCTGGCATTATTCCTGTAGTCCATTTGACAACACCAGACTAGAGGCAACCTCATTGGGTGGCTGTGAAACTCCAGTCTGTCCGTTAGCACAGGCTTTGTTTCTTATCCTCACCAACACATTCTGCAGCCGCCTGCTCAACTTGGGTTCAGATCCTGTTATATAGGACGCCTCCAGGTCTTGGAACATTTCTGTCTGTTATGAGTGGCTTTGTCCTACAGAGAGATAGAATGATTGAGTGTCATCCCAGTAGGTGTTTGATGACTTTATGAGCACACTTTCCTATGACAGCTCCTGACCCCTCCCCAGTAAGTGTTTGACAGCCAGCCTGTCCTGCGACTTGTTCAACATGCACAGTGTGAAAGGACTCTCGCATGTTCAGGCCACATGTTTCATCTGATAGGGTGGCACAGTGGCTCAGTAGTTAGCACTGCTGCCTCACAGTGCCAGGATCTTGGGTTTGATTCCAGCCTCGGGCAACTGTCTGTGTGGAATTTGCACATTCTCCCCATGTCTGTGTGGGTTTCCTCCTGCAGTCCAAAGATGTGCGGGTTAGGTGGGTTGACTATGCCACAATGTCCATAGTATCCAGGGATGTGCAGGCTGAGTCGATTATCCATGGCGAATACAGGGTTTCAGGGATAGGGTGGGATGCTCTTCGAAGGGTGGACTTGATGGGCTGAATGGCCTGCTTCCACACTTTAAGGAATCTATGATTCTATGAAAATGTGACTACAATCCTTCAAACTCCTCTTTGACAGCCCTGGCCACTTATGTCAACACTGTGTAGTGCCGTATTTAGTGGTATTTTGTTGTGAATACATGATGCCACTGACACTGGTGCAGCACAACAGATTGTTTGACCTTTTCCTGTACAGCACCCAGGTTTTGGCATTAGCTGCATGGCCGTTAGCCTGTGCTGTAGCCTGTAGCAGACAATTGGTCCTACTCTGCTGTCCTTGGGAAACAAGACCTCTCATCTTTCGTGGATAGTCTGGAGGACTTGAAGAATAAGTCCACGTGTTGTCTTCCCTGTGATATCAATATTGAAGAGCAGATTTGCTATTGAGCTTATTAGTGAGGACCAGCAGATAATGATTTACGAGCATCAATGGTGCTCCTCCCTAATCAGGATGTCTGGGTGCTTTTTAAATAGTACGCTCGACCTTTGACCCCATGATGTAACAGAACCAATATCAACTTCTTCTTGCCACACAATTTGTCATGTTCCCAGGACACGCAGAGCCACTTGGCTGTCCAATTCATTCACTGAATACATCTACATCTTGAAATGAAACAGTAGCCCTCAGGCTCCGAGATGACACTGCTACTACTTGAGAATGACATGAACAAAAGGAAATGGGTAGATTTCTGATCGAGTCAGTGGGGAAAAGATGACTGAGTAAGATGAGTCTGGATGCAAAACTTGGTTGAATATTTGTTGTTGTGATATTGCAAATTCTCACAGTCATGTTTCCTCACTGATCTGATGACAGTTGACTGACTTATTGTGTGACCTGACCTCAGTGCATGTTATAATTCGCTTGTAAGTCAGATTAGGAAGGAGTGACAAGTTTCTCTCCCTGAACACATGCAGTGGACATTGCTGGTAATCATTCTTTTATGCGGTTACAAAAATGACCAGATTTATTTAATTAAATTTTACAATTTGTGGTACTGGAATTTAAGGTAAATCTGACCAGGTTGCTAATCTTTTAGCAATAGATACTTTTCTATGTTACCAGACCAGGCTTGAGATTCAGATAGATCTAGATTTATTCATTCAAGAACACCAAGTCTGTAGTATGATTATCTTCACTTCACTTGCTTTTACATCTGCAGATTTATTTTTAAATTAAGCTTAACATTCCAGATTTTTAAATGCGACTTCTTGATTTTTCTTATATTCACTTGTGGCCTTTGTTAAATTTAACGACTATCAAGAAATTAATTATACTGAAGTGAATGGATTGACTTTTAAAATATTTAACTTCAGGAGCTTTCTGACCTTCGACATGCCCACAATAAACTGAAGAAGCAATACCAAGACAAGATGGCAGAATTGACCCATTCCAATCGAAGAGTCGAACAGCATGAAACAGAAGTGAAAAAGTTAAGACTGCGGGTGGAAGAGCTGAAGAAGGAACTGGCACAAGCAGAAGATGAGGTGTGTATTGTCACATACATTAAAAATTCCAAATGATTCTGAAGTAACAGAGTATGCAGTTAAAGTTAACTTATTGAAGCCCCATTTTGAGACTCTGAATACGAACCATCTTTCAGCATTGAGGTAAATAATAAGAATAATTTATTTTGGTCTGATCTTCACTCTTGTAAAGATCAATTACTTTTTAAAAAGAGATGAGAATTTCTCAGGGATTGATGGAAAAAATGTCATATGACATGATTTTGCATTTTAGGACTTTTACTGTAATAAACAAACTGAAATCAACATAAGTGAAACATTATTCAATAGGCAACCTATATTTCTCCATTTTCTAATTAAGCTGACAGAAAATACTTTGTGATTCATTTATTCTACATTATTATACACTCTCGGTAGTCATGTGGCCTGTAGATTAACTTCTGTGCTACTAATTTATAAGCAGACTGTTTTCTTGCTATTGTATCAGGCATAATTGAGTGTCCTTTTGAAAATCCCTTCACTGCATCTTCCAAGTATCTCCAGACTGACATTCATCACTTTTCACACCACTTTGCACAGAACACCTATTTTTGATCATTCTCTCCTGGGCTCTGAGTTTGAGAATCTGTGCCTAGAAAGACTAGTTGCCCCATTTTGTGTCAAGTTGTGAGAACTGTCCCTTTGATTTTCAGTAGGTTTTGACCTGGGGGTCTCTTTCTGATAATAACCAAATTACTTTGGGCCTGTTCTGGAACAGAGTCAAATAGAATTTCACCATTTTCCATTCCACAATTTCCTTAATTACCTTAAGATGAAAGAGAGACCTTAATACAATATATAACTTCCCATGAAATTTGTAACAACTTAGGTTATGAAGGTTTATTGAAAATCAAATGCGCCTATTGCTGCATTTCTGTTTTATTTTTGGTTTTCAAGGGCAACTAGGGATGGGCAATAAATGTTGGCCCACCAGTGATGCCCATGTGCCACAAATGAATAAAAAGAAAGTGCAGGCATGGCTACAATTATGACAGAAACCAATAACTGAGTTTCATAAACATCTTGATTTCATGTGATAATACAACACTGAAGGAAACTTTATGACCCATCATAGCTATGCTGGTTCTATGTAGGAGTTAGTTCTATAATTATACTGCACACCCTCATGCGTCCAGAGTCTACATTTCAATGCTTTAATCACATTAGGATCAAACAGCTATCCATAAAAACAATGCATTTGATAATATTTGTCAATGGTGAAGATGTTTGTGATAGCTCCAGATCAATTGAACTCCTTTAGGCAACACATTGGGCAGGATTTTGCCATCCTTTGAGATGGCAGGGAAATTGGCAAAGGAGTAAATAATTGGGCGGGTTGGCGCTGACACTAGAATGTTCCCATCCTACAACCATAACAACTGAGTTCTAGGTGAAGCTTCATAGTGAGCCTTCCCAACCCGTCATCAATTAGGGCACTTTAGTCATCAGTTAATGACTACTTAAAGGTTTCAACTCACTACTGCCCTGATTACCTGTCTTCCCAGTAGGCGTGAGCAGTGGCTGACCCTCCAGCTGGCAAATCTGAGGCAGCCAGTCTGATGGTCTGTGGTGGGGGTTCTCCATTAACCCAAATTGAGAGAAATTGAGAAATTGAGGGTGAAGTGGCTGCTAAAAGCAACTCCCCAAACCCTGACACCCTCTGCCTTTGTCACCATTTCTGACAATTTCCCCCACTCCCCCCACCACGGCACAACCCCCCACCAACGCTCCCACTACCACTACCTTCAGCTTCAGCCACATGATTGTTTGAAAATCTCATCAACCAGGGATTTATAGGGAGAGGCTCAACAGGCTAGTGCTATTTTCCCTGGAGCATTGGAGGCTGAGTGGTGACCTTTATAGATGTTCATAAAATCATGAGGACATGGATAGGGTGAATAGCCAAGGTCTTTTCCCCAGGGCAGGGGAGCTCAAAACTAGAGGGCATAGGTTTAAGGTGAGAGGGAAGGATTTAAAAGAGACCTAAGGGGCAACTTTTCATGCAGAGAATGGTGCGTGTATGGAATGAACTGCCAGAGGGCGTGGTGGAGGCTGGTACAATTACAACATTTAAAAGGCATCTGGATGGGGATATGAATAGGAAAGGTTTAGGGGGATATAGGCCAAATGCTGCCACATGGGGTTAGATTAATTTAGGATATCTGGTCAACATGGATGAGTTTGACCAAAGGGACTGTTTCCATGCTGTACATCTCTAAAGCACTGTAAGTGCCTACTTGTTACTTGATCCAGCAACCTCCTACTGCTGGTCTCTCACCCTTAAAGACACCCACCCCACATTTAGAATGAAAAGAGGAAAATCCCAGTTATTTGTTCATCCAGAATCCTATGTCTTGTTAAGAGCTCCCCAGCTACATGATTTTTACACTGATTAATATTTATGTGAATTTTTGGATATTCACTCCTTCGTGCTATTTCTTTCAGTACAAAACAGCAGGTGTACACTTCAACACAAAATAGATTTTGTCACAGGCATTTTTTTGTCTTCATCTCTCTTTTGATTGGCTGAATTTTATCAGACAATTGGAGATGGCCTGGGAGAAGAAAGGGCTGACATGATGGTGGAGCGATAGAGCCTGTCATCTTCTTGCCTACTGCCTTGGCATATTGCCAGCAATGAGCCCCTTGCCAGCAGGGATAGCAAGTTGAATGCCAGTGGAGATACTTAGAGGCTCAATTAAGGGCAGCCTCTCAGCAGGTTTCTATGGCGTGGGGATGGAGCCTCATGGCTCATGGACATATCTTCTCCAGCAGCAGGGTCTGCTTTGTGTCTGCCTAACCTTGGCTTTCCCAAGCACACTCAATAGCCTACAGGACACCATGGCAAAAGTGGTTAGTGTTGGTCATGAGCAATGTTGAGCAGCTGGCCCTCTGACCAGATTGGTACATCCTGATGATGGAGTCATGATACCATGCCATGCTGTCAAGCAACTGCTCTGGCAATGGCCATTTCGGCACTTGCAGTGGAACTGTTGTTCTGTGAGAAATTCAACTCTGCTAGTCATCCCTGTGCTTTTTGTGGTATCAGGTTTTTCTGCCTAAGGTCCTTAATTACTTGCTGGATATAGTTTTCCTTTCACATGTTGGCTAAATGGTTGTTCCACATCTGTAAACAATAATAAGCTGTTTGACCTGAGGAGATATTCCTGTCCAACTGTTTCTGGCACACTGACATATACCCACTTCCAGCAGATGGCATTGCCAGCTGAATGTTGTGTTCAATTGTTCTGTGTTTGACAATGAGTCTGGTAGATATCTACTTGATTAAGCCTGCATGTTGACTCAGAGAAAAGTAATAGACGCCTCAGGATGAACGGGAATCTTCTAAAATAATGATAGGATTAGACATTTTACAGCATTGTATAAACCTCTGTAATTAAAATTTCTTCACCAGTAGAAACTAATGGCAGCTCTGCGTACCTCTGGGGCAAATCAGACCTACAGAGTGCACAAGGCTGTATATTCACACTGAAGGTGCAAACTCTACCTTATTTTTCTTCCTTAACTTAAATTTTCTGTGGCCAATTGTGGCATCACCTAACTCTCGCCCAGCTGAAGGGTTAACCCAACTTGTTCAAATCTGTATGAAACAAAATAAACAAGTTTCACTTTATTTAAGAGTACTTAAACTCAAAAATGCTCATTTGACTGACTAGATTCACAATTAAAACTGAAGCGCTATGTACTGATGCATTTCTAATATCAGTTATTACTCAGTCCTGCATGGTGTATTATTACTGAATATAGTTACAGCACCTTCCCCAGAATTTAGCAGAGATTGGTGAAGATGCTGGAGTGATCAGTGGTGAGGAAATTAGACAAGGACTGGAGAGATCAGTGAAGGAGGGGAGATTTGGGGAAAGAGAGGACAACATCACAAGATCATGAGAGGCATAGAGAGAATTGTGGGTGATTGAGGTTTTTAGTAGGTTGTTGGATTTAGTGGGAGTGGGTGAATGTGGGGATGGTGAGGAGATGAGCAGTTGCATTCAGTCATTGGGGAGGTGGGAAGATTGTTTTTGGAGTCCAGGGAAGATGTCTTGTTTCTGTCTGCCCACAGCAGCACTGAAAAAGACAATTTTCTATTCCCTACAGAACCCTTTACCTCTGTTTAGCTACTGGGTTTCCTGAGTCACAGGAAACGTTACTGGACAGGTTTAAATTTGGAACAAGAAAAGGAATCAGAGGCATGCTGCTTGGTTAAAATCTCTAAATGAGTGTCCTGCCTTCAGTAAGTGATTCGTTGCTTGGCTTCCACTTCTGCCTCCATTTCACCTGTACGTAGGAGGTTTCAAGGCTTGTGGACTTCAGGACTCATTTGCAATGTTTAATTTTCACCCAACCCAAACCCAACTATCCTGAGGAATTAAAAGTTCCTCACTTGGAACCAAACAGTAGTAAAATGTGTTAAAATAATGCATTAAAAATATACCAGTCAGTATTATTTTTAAAATGCATATTGAGGAGCAATTTGGGTTAAAGGTGTAAACTTGTCATGTTTCCAGATGATTTATTCCTCATTATAATGACTTGCAATTATATCAGCCTAATTCCTCAGTTGTCTATTGCTGCTAATAAACACCACTGTAAAAGATATGTGAAATCTGTATCACTGTTACAATATTAATGGTTAGCTATTTTAATATTTGTGCATTAATATTAACAAACCAGTGACAGGAGGCAGGTAGGGGTTTACCAATGAAAACTCTGCGAGTGTATCCACAAGTTGTTGAGGTTTTTGTTGAAGTAGTTTATTCTGTCAAGAATGAGGATGTCACTGGCAAGGCTGGCATTTTTTGCCCATCCCTCAATAAAGGCTGACCAAGTCATTTCAGGGGATAGTCAATGGTAAATCACTTTGCCATGGTTCTGGATTCACATGTAGATCAGACCAAGTAAGGGTAGCAGATTTCCTTCCCTCAAGTGGACCCTTGAACCAAGAGGGTTCCTAAAACAATCAG